TGTTATTTTAGAACGCTGCCGAAAGGAATTCTAGTTCGTCTCCACGATATGGCTATGCGGTTTTGATATTGTGAACACTTCAAATGGATTCTTGTAGGCGGCTTTACTATCTTCAAAACTTGTAAATGGAAAGCAAATCGCTGGTAGCCTAGGCCCATGGAGGCCCAATGGGAGCATTCTGGCCTACGTTGCCCACGTCATCGTTGTGCTCCCTCGCTGTTGTTTTCTTGCAGCTCACCTTTGAGTGACCACGGACAACTAATATTCAAGATTTTTCTCGGTGATTTAGGGTATTCCGGCGCCTGTGGCGCGGCGCCAAAATACCCTAAATCACCAAAATCGATGAAAAGTTTCGGGCAAAGCGGATGTGATATTCGTGTTCAGGAGGTCGAAGTACCACTGTAACAAATTTCCATCCAAATCTGCCCCTCTAGAAAAAAATCGATAAAAAAGCGGCCTGATTTCGGCAGACTGGGGTAGGAATAGTTCGATAGTGCCGAAAACGAAGCCAGAACTAGGGAATAGCTTCTTGAATATTAGTTGTTCGCGGTCATTCAAAGGTGAGCGCGCTCATACAAAGGATATTGGAGCTATTTTACGACCCGGAGCCAGTTTCAAGCCAAACACTCGAAAAGTACCCCTCACTTGAACACCCATAACTTATTTGAGAGCGGAGCTTTTCGGAGAGAGGAAAGCAGGAATGTGGAGCATTAGGTTGGCACTGTTGCCTGACTAGAGCGATTTCAAAAAAATTCCTTCTCAAGAAATTTTCTCCGTTGTGATCCTGTCGTGATCATGGGGGTCATTTACAAGTCCTTACGCTTTGAACAGCCATGGCAAGCTTCATACAGGGCCTTTCGTAAAAAAAAAAAGTGCCAGAATTTTGAAGCTTTCTACTTTCCAGCAAGACTTTCATTTTATCCCTAGGCCTTTTTATCCCTTTTATCCGAAAAAATCCCCCGTTGTTCACAGCGTGATCACTGCCCCACGACACAAAAAAATCAACCCCTCGACGCCGTAAACCCAGTCACGCCGTGAATCCAGTCGGATTAGAGACTTTCGATATGCTTTTAAACGCATGTTTTTTGCCAAGGATATCAGGAAATAGTTCATTGGGCGTCAATTGGCATCACCTGCATGCGCCATGCATAGCGCTTCTCACGCAGAGGTATTGGGAAGGTGCAACTTCTAGAAAGGGCTTCCTCCGTGCAAGTAGATGTGCTTCTGCGATAGAAAGGTCGGAAGTGTATTTCCATCTGTTTATTAATTCATGACGTCGTTGTGGGCGGCCATCGTATTTCCTGTCATCGCCCGTTCCCACTTCTGCGCTGGCAGGTTGCTTCTGTCTTGTGTGTGTCTCTTCAGGGGTTCTTCACATGGATAAGTCTTTCATCATTGAAGCTGAACGACATCTGGGTATCGCTGCACCCTCACTTCAGAAAGGGCCTTGCACTTCCGACCCCCTCCCCTCCATAACAGGGGTTGGTCGAACAGGGGTCTTATCAACTGTGATTGATAGGAAGAAATGATGAGGGTTAATAAGAGCAATAAGTCGTTGTACTCTGAAAAGCTCTGGAACTGCGCCATTACCACCCAGACCTCTGGGAAAGAAGGCACGATCTTTTCTCGATGTCGGACCAAGCTCAGGTGAAACAATCCACGCTCTCAAAATAGTGATGCTCTTTAACTTCCATGGAAAGCGATCCAGACACTATAGTGATCAAACCCGTGGCGAGGGAAAGTGGCAGCCATGCGCAGAACCTATCCGCGCTTGGATGTGCTCATCGTCCTTTGGTTTAGATAAGCACTGCCAAGCGCGGATAGGTTCCTCACATTATTGCCACTGTCGTGCTTTCGAATTTAGGCAATGCAACCCCCTTGGTTAACCGGAATGGGAGCTGTTTCACTCACTCTTTATCCACTGTCTACTTCCTTTCACGATCACAGCAGGTTTTTGCGACTGCGATATTGTCCACATTACTTCACTGTCTTGTTTAATACAATCTTGTTCACTACGATGAGAGGAGGGTGCCAATCGAGATGGGCTTGGCGCGGTGCCAAACTGGTTTTCCACCAGTTGTTGAAGCAAGCAAGCGACAAAAGCTTCATACTATTTGTATCAGTCGTTTTCTACCAATTGTGGACGCTTACCCGCCTCAGCGGCTGGAGGAAAACGGCGCAGGGCGGCTGAAACGGCACAGGGCCGGGTCAGATGGGTTTGGCACTGAGCCAAACACATCCCGCTTAAGAGACCCTTTCATCCCTTCGAAACCCATTACTCAAGAGAAGAAAGAAAAGGAGAACCAGAGCAACAGGTCAATAGAAGAAAATTTCAGAGTTCAGAAATTTCAATAAACAATGCAATGAGGGTCGTTCCAATAGATGGCCGAACAACTGCAACATCGCTAACCAAATGTGCATGGTGGGAGTTTGCTGAAGGAATTTACTAGCATAGATGTCAGCAATATATGGATTACGTGAAAACAAAACTCCGTTCATGTCTGTCTGATCTTGCTTCTCTTGATCTCTGGGCTGGGACTCCTTGGTTCCGTTTTTATGACAACGTCACCCAGCCGCTTCTTGGTTTCTCCGTTCACGTCCTTATTTACAGACTGAAAAAAAAAATGTAAATAGTTAAATGTGAACACCGTCTAACCGCAAATTCCTAATGAGCAAAACTGAGAGCACGTATCGAAATATATTCACAAGCAAAACGTGGAATGTATAACTTCGAATAGCCTGTCAGATACTGGGTAGAACCTCACAACACCAAGGTACCCATAAAGCGAAAAAGAAAGTTTGCCACATTCTAGAGTAGCACCTTGCGACCTTGGAGAAGCAAACGTAGAAATGGAAAAATCGGCGAGTCTGCAAAACGATAGAGATCCCCCCCTCCCCAACTGACGCTCAACTCACGAGTGCAGGTCATGCGATACTTACAGTCTTGTTCACTGCGGACGCCGAAGCGTGTCAGGGGTTGGGATTGGCGCAGCGCCAGCCAGTTTTCCACCAGTTGCAGCCGCCTTACAGATTCCATAAATGGTGCGCGGGCTGGCATACGCCGCCAAACCCAGCCCGCCTGAAACGCGTCAGCATCTGCAGTAAACTAGACTGTATGTATCGCACGTTTCCTACTCTTCAGCTGGCCATAATTGATAGGTATCAAGTCTTTTGAGCGAATTCTTTGACTCCCCTGTTCCCAATACTGAGACGCATACATTGGTTCTCGGGAATCATTTGATTACTTGGTATCGCAAGTTGTGAACGAGCCCTAACCAAAGTGAGGCTAACGCCTCATACCAACTGCTAAAATGCAGCCGCGTAGCGTGATCTTGCATATCTTACGGACAAAACAAAGGAGATTTCATCGATGGTTCCGTGAAGTTCCTCAGACATTCCACAGCTAAACAATTAGGGTGTGTCCTTACTTTGCGCCAGTGTTACTTTGCGTACGGGAGTGTTTTGACCGTACGCCAACGTATGCCATCGTTTTGAGCACTAGGAAAGTATAGATATCAATCTAGCGTTTTGAGCATTTTTGCGGACAGTTGCTGGGAACGCCGGAGCGCGCTCAAAACGCCAATGCAAGATTTTAACGCAGCTTCACTCGAGCGCACATTGCCGCATTTTAATTTTTTGTCAAAGCTTCCATTTTAAAATATCATGAGCATTGCTTTGAATTGGTGGTATTTCCTGGACAATCTCGAAGAAGTCATGGAAAGGAAGAACTAAGATCAATTACAACAAACTTACCGCGTTCAATCTCTGCTGTCTGCCAGGGACAGCATGAGAACGATTTTCCTGGTCAACCGCCTCGCGACGTCGGCGCTTCATAAATTCAACAGATGAACGTGAAAAAATGCGTTCGTCTTCTTGAAAGTTCCTCTTCAACACTGATGGTTGAGCGCGCGACGGGACAATTGATAAGGCAGCTCGATTCCATCCTGTAACGGATGAAACGTTCAGTCAACCAGCATCGATGGAAAAATAAATGATGTGAAGAAGAGTCAGAGTGCGTTCATACTTCGCGTCAGCGTTTAGAGCGTAAGCCAGCATTTTCAGCGACTACTCGCGCAATGGTTCAAAACGACGGTGTACGCTCGCTATATCGACATCTACTTCCTAGTCGCTAAAAATGCTCAAAACGCTGGCGTACGCTCAAAACGCTGACGCAATGCATGAACGCGCTCTTATTGAAGTAAGCAACAGTTGAGTGGAAAACTTTTCAAGGGAGGTTCACACGAGGTCATTGGCCACTATTATGTCACGCTCACTTCGGAACCCACACGACTATAATCACCGAGAAGGATTACTTTTAGATCTGCTTGGTGGTTATGAGCTATACTATAAATATGAGCATACTATTGCATACTATTGAACTACACCTGCTTATACAGCTAATACAACTGCCGTTTTCGGTCAGGCTGCGTTCATACTATTTGTCGGCCATATGCGAAAAGGAGAGTATGGGCATCGACCTCTCATTCTAGGAGAAACGCCAGAGTTCGAGCGCTGCGAGCGT